AACTTTTAAAGATTTAGACACTGTAATTGATTGGGGTATCCCCATCTAAGGATGGCCTAAGAGTGACAACTTTATTCGGAGACACCTTATTCGGAGGTAAAATGTACTTTGCCCTTGCTGGTGGTTGGGTCTTAACGTCCCTCAAAGGACCCCTATGTTGAAGGCTTGGTCTCCAGCCAGCGGAGCTACTGGGAGGCAGTGGAACTTTTAAGAGGTGGAGCCTAGGGGAAGGAAGTTAGGTCACTGGGGCTACGTCCCTGAAGGGGACATTGGCATCCTGACCCTTCCTGTCCCTTTTCTTTGCTCCCGGGACATCACAAAGTGAGTAGCTTCCTACTCTATGTGCTTCCTCCATCACATATCGCCTTACCACAGGCCCAAAGGCAATGGGGCCAAGCAACCATTGGCTGAAACCTCTGGAGCCATGAACCAAAAAAACCTTTCTTCTCTATTAGTTTATTATCCTAGATATTTTGTTATAGTAATGGAATACTAACAGATTCCTTTTAGAAAATAGACCATCAAACCAGAGTAGTGATTTGAATAAGAGATCTAAACAGGAAAATATTTTTTTTTGTCTTTTTCGTTTTTATCGGTACCAGGGATCGAACTCACGCTCACGACTGCCTGCTTGCAAGGCAGGCCTTTATGCCGCTGAGCTAAATCCCTAGCCCCCAACAGGAAAATATTTTTAATTTATTAGTACTTGTTCACAGAATATGAAATTTACATTTGTTACATTCTTCTCAGAGAGTAGATGTGTGTACATAACAGCCTAATTCTTTGTTATTTCCCTTTACCTTCCCACTCCATCCATCTCTAAATCCCCCTTCTTTATTTTTATTCTTATTTTTATTGCTATATTTAATCATATTTAGACAGGAAAATTTTTTAATTCCTCAAAAGTATCATTAGGTAAAATTTTAATGCATCAAAAATTTTAAACTATGTGGTTATAATTTAGAGCAAGGTAGTGGGAGAATATCAGTAATTCTGTTAATTATCTTATTTTTTAGAGTCCTGTTTGCATGTATAACTTTCATACATACCATAAAATCTATGCATGCCTCCAAATTTTCCTGAACATGGGGTATTTTTGCTTGCCTGTGGCGGTACTATTGGTGGACTCTGGCTTCAAAAGTAATCAGGCAGTTTGTTGGTTACCTGTTCATTGCTAATCCCTGTACTCTTCCCAGCTGCTGATCACTTTACAGTGAGGGCTCCATGAGGTTCCCTGGGCTGGAGGATATCTAGACTAAGCCCATGGTGTCTTCCATTCATTGGACACAAATACTGGTTACAGAGATGATCTGTGACCCCAACGAGACCCACTGAGAATGAATGTTCTGATTTTTCTTGGGAAGGCTGGGCAGGAATATTCTCGATCTATATTTCTGGGCTAACATGAAGAAAAAGACAGGCTTGAGAGCTGCTAGAAGCCATAGGAAATCTTAAAGAAAGTAAGCCTTAGACTTTAACCCCAAAAGATAAGTTAAGAGCTGGAAAAAAAGCAGATTATTGGTGAGTTTATTGATCTACTACTATCAAACCATATCTGAAGCCAATATGTCTTCTGGCATTTTTAGTTAGCTGAGTCAACAAATCCTCTTAATTGTGCAAATCATTTACAGTGAGACTTTCTATTAGTTTTTTTTAACTGGCATACCGTACTGGCATCTATCCTTTGTTAGAGTTATAGGTTAAGATTAGAAGTTATAGATAAAATTCAGGTCGGGATGCAGATAGTGAGACTGCCTGTGTCCATGTCAGGATGGTCCTGCAGGGATGGGCTAACTGCTGAGCCTCATGCTTGGACAGCAGCGCCAAGGGCCATGAGATGGGACTGTGGAGGTGCGGTCCACACACACGGAGGTCTTGAGCCCTGAACAATGTCTCATCTACCGGAGTCCAGGACAAAAACAGCTTCCTAAGGTCTCCCTGGAAAAGCAAGGTACACACACTCCCTCCGTCCTGCAGTTCACTCTAATCCTGAGGCCACCAGGGATGAGAGGGCAGGGACAGAGGGCTCCTGATTCCCAGTCACAGCTCCACCGTGAGAGATTGCCCAGTGGGCTTTCCACTGAGCACCTGCCCAGTTTTCTGTTGGACGCTGCTGCTTTTCTTGTAGTTAATAACATTTTTTACTAATTGATAAAAATAGCTCTTTAGGGTGTAGCTTGCCAATTTTTGTCTAAATGTGCCATTTGACTTTAAAATTTTTTTGGAATTTAAAAACCTAATAGTTAAAATAGTGGAATATAATCTTATTTTCATTTTATGGGGATTATTTTAGATGTAATTAAGTGTCACTCTGTGATGGTTTCTTGAACTCAGCATAATGTTCTCAAAGTTCATCCAAATTGTAGCATGAATCAGTAAGTACTTTAATCCTTTTCTGGCCTCATAATGTCTGTTGTTTAGAGGCCCTACATTTAAAAGTCCACTTATTACTGGGGGGATATTGCAGTTCTTTTCATTTTTAGGTGAGTATAAAAAATGCACATTCGCACACAAGTTTTTGGTATTGTTTTGCATTTTGGTGTGGCTCCTTGCTCACCTGGAGAAGGCACTCTACTTTCAGTAGTGAGGTTTTCCTGTTTTCACGACGAGAGTTCCCAGCATGCCAAGCTCCCACTCCCATCTCTTTGCAGGGTAAGGTGCAGCGCCCAGCAATAATCAGAAGATGCAGTGGCCTTGGGTTCTGATTGGTTGGCTCTTTTCTTCACTGGTTGGTCCCTGTGGCTACTGTTGCCATAGGGAAGTGCTAGTCACAAAAGGACAAGACATACATGAACTCTGCCCAGTACTCTTCGAGGGTGGCAAGAAAACAAAGATTTTCCTCAAATTTTTATCACTGACCTTATCATGAAAGTCACTCTCTGCTGTCCTTCGTCTACGTCTGTGACTTGCTGACCGTTGTGCTATGGCTTAAGAAAGGGATCAGTAGAAGAAAAGGCTCTGATCAACCAAACTTTGCCAGGAACAAGGGGGAGAATACGGAAGCACTGCTGCCTGGTGCTGTTCACCCAGTTCACCACCAACACTGACATCTTGGGGATCAGGACAACCACTAAGGTCCACGCCTATGAGGCCCTGCAAGCAACTAAAGATCATTGTGGCATTTTTTTTTTTTTTTTAGTGGTATCGGGGATCAAACTCATGACCTTGCGCTTGCCAGGCAGGTGCTTATGCCACTGAGCTAAATCCCCAGCCCGTAACTAAAGATCAAAGTCCAGCACTTTGGAGACCAGCTGACCCCTGATGCCTTCTGCTGGCAGGACATTGTCACCTGCCAGGACCTTACCATTTTGGGACAAGTTTGATGTCTCTGATGTTTTTGTTTGTTTAAAAGTAACATGAAAACTATAGACTCAGATGAAGCAAAGGCCAAACAGCAATGGACTTACTTGAAAAATACAGATGGGGAGACTAAAGAGACCCTGCAGGAGCTCTAGGAGGAATTCGAGAGCATGGAATTCTGGCAGCCTCCATGAGACTCCCCAAGAAGAAAATAGACAAACTGAATACCACCCTCATTCTTTGTTTTTTTCTTTCTTTTTGGTAACAGGTATTGAACTCAGGACCTTGTACTTGCCAAGTAGGCGCCTGTGCAGCTGAGCTATATCTCCAGCCCAGCAACCCCTATTCTGCATACAAGGTCAGCTGTGATGGTGCCAGAAACTGTGCAGAAACAGCTACTCCCCATAAGGACGTACTATGCAATTTGTTTATAAAGAAGGGCCCTATGCAGCAGCACACCCAGAGAGGTGACTTCAGTCTGGAGCCACACTGTGATTAGACACCAAACACCTGTGAAAAGATTATCACACGTAACAGGAAGCATTTACTTTGATGGTACCATTTTTTCACAAATCCAACAGGAACTATGTGAACCAAGGAAATGACCCCATTGACACAGTCAGTGCCTTCTTGAGTTCTACTGCAAAATCCCTTTATACCTAAGTTCCACTTGAGCTCTATACATAGGTCAGGAGATCTTCAACATGTCCAGGAAATCTGTTTATCATGTTTCATTCCTGTGCTGACTGGAACAAGAAACATGCCACCTTTGGGCAAGTTGCTGGGCTTCTGACACCTTTATAGTCTTGGAAAATGTGGAGACCCCAAAACTGACTTGCTAAGGAAGAGTTCAATGTCCCTCTCTGTTCGTGGACCCCCATAAGGAAGCTAAAGCTCATGTTACCAAAGATCAGAAGAAGATAACTCTAGATGGCTCTCATAGCTGAGTATAAACCAGCCCAGCCCCAGCTGAAGAACCAGGCCCTCAAATACACCACCAAAGGGAGCGCTAGTCCACTGACCCAGAATTAGGAATCACTGTAGAGAGGAAAAATCAACCAGTGCCACTGTTCCTGTGGTCTGGGAAAAGTCCATCTGAGGTTCTGAGAACTTCAGCTTCTGCAAGAAGCAGACCAGGATCCGTTCAGAGACATGGGAGACATCTAAGCAAAACCAGCAGCTCCTGCTGCAGCTGGGGCAGGGTGAGCAGAAGGTTTCTGAGCACCCTCTGCTGTGTCTTCCCAACAGCTAAGGTGGTGGCCTTGCTGCTCTTAGGGACAGGCTTTGCGCTCAAAAATCCCTTTTCTCACTCACCAGCTCATCCATCTTCCAGGCCAGCTATATCAGCATTTCTTAAATTACAGATCCCTCTGGTGACCCCTATACTTCAGTTAAAAGTGTTGAAAAATTAAAAAGCATAACATACATACTTTACTGATGATATATTAGTATACCTCTTCATAGTTTAATAATCACGTTTTTCTATTTCATTTTTGTAGTATCTTTATAGACAACGGTGAAAATTTATTGTTCTTCTCTTTTGTACATGAAGATGGAGATGATAAAAGCATCACCCTCAGTTAAACAGATGGTTAAGTAGAAGAAGCAAGTGATAAGAAGAAGAAGGGTGCACATATTTTAAAGTTGGTGTCTTGGATACTTTTCTGTCATTGCTGGAACAAAATACTCAAAACTCAAAATGAAAGAAGGAAAGGTTTATTTAGCTTACAGTTTGTGGAGGTTTCAGTCCATAACCAGCTGGCTCTAAGGCAGGTTGGTATGGCACTGGGGCAACACTCCAAGGTGGTAGCCAGCAAAAACAGCCAGAGCAGAACAGGGAAGAGCAAGTCTCTGTTCTTCCCTTATTTTGTACACAGACTGCCCCATTCTGGCATCCAGGGCTGGTATAGCACTCACAAAATCTCCTTGCCCTCCTCTTGCACAGGATGAGGATATTTACAAAGTAAGAACCCTGGCTTCCTGCTGAGTCTCTTAGTTAAACCTCACAACTTCTGAGGTATCAATGTATCAACAATGTATCCACCACAACAGTTGGCTTTTCAGCATCTTTTATGGTGCTTGTCAACTAGAGATAGTACCTGTTTGTTGAATGAATGAATGAATGAATGAATGAGTGAGCAAATCAAAGAACAGAACTAAAATAATAAAAATAGTGATGGGTTTGGTTTTTAATTATTGCTGTGGATTGAATACAGTTCAGCCCCCTGAAATTCATGTTAAAATTTAATCTCCTTTATGAAGTACTGAGAGTGATGTTCAAGAAGAGATAAGAGCTCTCTGCCTTCATGAAAGGACTAATCAGCTTATCTGGTAATTTTGAGAGAGTCTCCTGTAAAAACCAGTTTGGCTGGGTCTCTTGCTCATTCGCTGTCTCTCACCACGTGACATGTTTACTTCACCACCTTCTACACTGCCAGTAAGAAAGCCATCACCAGAGAGCTGCACCTCAACCCAAAGCAGAACCATCGACCAAAATAAATCCCTTTTCTTTAAAACTCACCCATTCTGTGGTACTGCGTTACAGGAAGCAGAAAATAGACTACTGTTTACTCCTTTTTCCAGCAAATACTTAATCAAATGCCTGTTATGGGAGAGGCATGAGCTTATGTGCTCAAATGAACTATGCCCAGCATCTTGGGTACATTGCAAGTACAAAAGAAACAGAACATTGTTGACATTTTAAATGTCTATTGACCTTTTGAAACAATAAAGAGATTATATTTCAAGTACTGCAGTGCCTTGCAAGGGAGGATCCTCATGTTAAATCCCTTTTCTACTGCATACAGTTTGTGCCTCAGTTACCTTGAGAATCAGCACTCTTCGGGAAGAAAGTCATGTCCACTGTTTTCTATTATAAATGTGTAGCGCACTCTGAATATCGCATGAATGCTGATTTATTTTCTCCTCAATCTGAGTTTCTAGCAGTATATGAGGATATTTGATCACTCAATCTCTGGGCAACCATCAAGTCAAAAATTTTACTATTTCATTGTGTGTTTTAGTAGGATTAAAGTCCATACTTTGCAGGTAAAGGCAATGTGCTATATAGATTTGATGGTCAGATCGCAGTCACACAAGAATGTAGAAAGAAGCTTGCCGGGTGGGAATGAGGCACTAACCACCTAATGCAGAGAAGGGCCAGTCTTGTAGTCCTCCAGGATGGAATACAGAGCTGAAAGAGCACATGAGCAAGAAATTTAACTCCGTTCATCTAATAGAAACTCCAAAGAATTGCATTCGTGGAATTGATGGGTGAAAATTATTTCAAGATTTAAAAACTGAGCCAAGTTCCATTTCCTTTTTCATCCTTCTCTTGCTTGAGAAGCAGAGAGAGAGAGAAATGCATGTTGGGTATATTTTGGGGGTCAAATGTGAGAAAGTCAGCCCTGAGTAGTGGCAAGACTAAGTGACTAGAGGAGGACCAGGCAGTGTCCTCGGGCAGTTTAGGCAAATTACTTAATCTCTCTGAGATTTATTTTCCTCAACTGGAAAACCTTAACAGGGCCAGCACAGGAAATGGAAGCTGTTATTTTGAACTTTTTAAATATGTAGGACAAACTTGGGCTCATTAAAAAGTGTTGTCACACATATTTCCTGATTTTCTTGAAAGAAAAACGGTATCTCTTAGAGTATTAATAGTACAGAGAAAAAAAAAAACCCATGAGGAGCACATGGAACTTTGCAGAGTTAAGATATCTTACTCAAAATTCAATCATAACTGCATAATAAAGATAGAAAGCTGCCTTCTTGGATCTCACAGTGCTAGACTTACTAGCTTTCATCTGGGAAAACGAGGGAGGCTTTGGGTCATATCCTTGAGTATCATTCAAATATCTCATGCTTCTGATTATGTCCTTAGGGGACTTGAACACATTAAAAATAAAAGAGGTGGATTACCGGGTTGTTCAGCAGCTTCTCGGATCCTTTCAGAAACTTGAAGAATTTAACTCTTTACTCGTGAACTTGGCACTGTCTCCTCTTGGTCAGTTCTCTTGTCTTGGAAGCTGAGTCCTGCCTAAGGTCAGTGGAATGGCTGCCTACTCTCAGGAGCCAAAGAAGGGGCAGGAGGGTAGGAGAGTGTTAGGCTTGCTGACGCCTCCTCTGGTCATTCCAGCAAAAGCAGCCCGCGGCAGGAATCCTGGTGAATGTTACAGCGTGGCTTAGAGGTGGCTCGGAGCACAGCCCAGCACATCCTGGTGGACGCTGGTGGCTGGCCTGCTACTTTGAACCTGTTTCCTAGCTGTACTATTCTGATGGGAGAAAAATAACAGGATGAGAGTTTGCAAATACTGTGCAACACAAGTGGCAGTCTTGCATAATACCAATGAATACAGCATGAGGCTTATGAAGAATTAACAAAACTTAAGGAATGCAGACTTGCTTTTTTCCAGCTGGATTGCCTGGAAATTAAGTGTTTCGTATATTTTATGCTATAAACTTGAATTTTACTTTTTGAAAGTATAAAAATCAATCCTGTGATACCCTAAAAATATAAGGTGGCATTGATGTGCTCAAACCTTGCCTTTATCCTATAAGGTCCCAGTGCCTCCCTGTACCTGATTTAGGGACCTTCATGAGCTTACCAGCCCTTCAGAATTAGGGGAAATGTACAGCTGGGGATTCTCATCTTTCACGTGCTTGGAGAAAATGTTCATCCTCACTCTTTCTGTGTCTCATTCGTTTCCCATCTGGAAGTCAAATGTAGTCATTATTGCATCCACTGTGGTAGCCCCTGGTAACTTTTAAAGACAATGTAACAATTAGAAGAAATCCATTACTTTACATCTTAGAGAACAACTGGTATTTAAAAATTGACACATTTTGTTTAATATATACATTACTGATTTGGGTAATGAGCAATTAATTGAATCACAGAGCCCAGAGGAGAAACACATATTAGGTTCCAGTTGGAAAATAATTGAGATAAATTGAATCTTTTAAATGTAAAATTAAATTATAAGTATGTTGGCATGAATAAAAAAGAATATTTTTATGACTTGAGGGTGTGTAATGAAGGATTTTATAACTGAGATCCCAGAACAAAAGTCATAGTTAAATATTCAACACACATACACACACACGGTGAATAGTGCAAAATGTAGTGTGGTACACTTAGGTATTTAATAAAATTAATTAAATTAAAATATAATAAAATTAGAAACTAAAAAGATTTTAATATATAAAAAGCTCCTTCAAACCAATATAGAAACCACAAATTCATAGTGGGAAAATAAAAAATGACCAATAATCAAAGATTTTTAACCTTCCTGGTAAGACAATAAAAAATTAAAACAAAAAAAAAATCCTCCAACCTGATGGGGAAAGAAAGAATGAAAATAGTCTTGGCAGGGGTTTGGGGAAATACTGCTGACAATTTAAAGTAGTACATCTTTTTAGAGAGCAACTTGGCATTATGTATCAAAATTCTTTTAAAAAGAGCATAGCATCTGATTCAGTCTAGGGATGGATTCCCAGTAAGTAATTGGACAAGTTTCCAAAGATCTAAGTGCAAAAATGTAAATGAAGACTTTTATTTATGATACTGAGAAATGAGTAACAACTTAAAGTATTGACAAAATAGGGTCATATATTTCATAGATAAGCTGTAAAATAAAAGACTACTAAATACCATAAAGTTTGATGAAGTTTTATTTAATGCAAACATGCGTACAATGGTGAATATGTACATGTACGTATGTTGCATACACATGTTAAATGCATGTGCGTATGCATGTATTTAATGTATTATTGAGGGAAGCAGTGAGGTGGGGGCAGAGAGACAGAGCAAGCCAGTCACGGTTCTCAGTGCTTTATATATATAGCATTTAATCCTTGCTAGTTCCCATAAAATGGCTGCTTTGATAAAGTCCATTTCACAAATAAGAAAACTGAGGCAGAAAAGGGGAGAACTTGCCTGGTCACGTGACTGATGAGTGGCAGAGCCTGGTTTCAAATCCAGATACTGTGACTCCTTCCCCTGGCCTTTTCCTGTGTCCCAGGTGAAGTTGTCTGCTCCCACATTCTCGTGGTAGAGAAAGGATCGGGGTACACACACTGAGCTGCTTCAATGCTTACCTTGGGTAGGGACGTGTCTCTGTTATTTTTTTCATGTTGCTAAAACAAAATACCTGACACCCAAAATTAGGGAAGGAAAGGTTTTTTCAGCTTAGTTTGTGGAAGTTTTTGTCCATACTCAGCTGGGTCCAAGGATGGTGGCATGGCTGAGGGGCAGCCATTCATGGCAGCCGCAAGCCACAAGAGCAAAAAAGGAAATAAAGGGGAAAAGCATGCCTCTTTTCCGCCTTTATATTGTACACCAGTTCCCTGCGCCAGGGTAGGTGCAGTGCTCACACCGCCAATCCCAGCGCTAGACAGCAAGCCAATCACAAATGCTAGACTCAGCCGCCCTAGAGAGGCCCTTTCCCCATGACCACGTGAAGCTTTAGGGGACATTTAAACAAACTACAACAGAATGCTAGAGGGGCTTCTATTCATTAATTTAAAAATATGAAAACATTTTCTGATTTTTTTGGCATTTAACAAAATGTGGTGAAGCATTGTAAGCTTTTTCAAATTTGCAAAATTGAAGAAATATTAATTTCTTCAATTGTTCCACCATGTTAACAATCTAGGCCAAAATAGGATTAACAGAGCCCAAGTTAAACTTCCCTAACCCAGTTTTCCACTAAGCCCTTGATTATATACCTCACAAAGCCACAAAATACATGTGAGAGATTTGTGTTTTTCCATTTATTCCATTTCTTCCTGAACATTCTGTGCTTCTCGGTTCTCCCTTCTTAGTAATTACTGCACCAAGTCCAGCATTCCAAGGAGCTGACCTACAGACCAGGAGTTCGGGCCCCTCCCCTAAGGAGCCTCTTGGTACAACTGGTCACCCGGCATCACCAAGATCCTTGTTATCTGTGCTCAGTGATTTCTCAAAATCCTAGAGAACATTAGAGTGAGGGAAATTCATGTTTATTTTTGACTCAACTCATTTGGACTCTAGAGATTGTAACAGATACCAAAAGGTATTACACATAATAGTGTTTCCTGGTATTAAAAATATAAAATTTAGAAAAGAGAACATACTAGCTTCTCCAGGTCAATAGTGATGATGATAGTGATGATGACGGCTCTGATGACTTTCTGGAAACTGGTCCTGTGTCTGACCTCCTACATATTGCTTTAGGGCACAGTATTTTATTGACTGTGCCCTACAGCTGGGAGGTAGATAAGGACAACCCCACTTTTTGCAGGGCCAGTGACACGGTGTCTAGTACACAGTCACAGAGCTCAGAAGCCTAAGTCCAGAGATCCTGGCTCAGGTCTGTATGAGTTAAAAATCTCTGCCTGGCTATGGAGCTCAGAATTTAAGAGCAGAAGTAGCTATCAATGACATTGATAGGGAGCGGCCACTTCCCACTCCCTCACCCACTTAGGAAAGAATCAGGGCCAAGGGGCACAGTTCATAAAGTTAAATTACTGAATTGAAGAGTAAAAAGATATATAGGTAGAACTACTGTCAACATGCCCAAGAGTGTAGACAGTGAAAAATGGCCACTGTGTAAAGGTTACTTTTTAATTTAAGAGAGAGAATTCATACTAATTTCTCATAATTTGTAGGGTAAACTGGGATTTGAGGAGTGGCTTTTATCCTTTATATTAGGAAGGGGTACTTTTAAGTTCTGGAATGGGGGCAGGTTTTTGCCTGGAGAAGAGGGGAAAATTCACTCTTCATCTTAGTCTGGACTCCAGACCAAGAATTCACAAACTATTCTGGAAGGGGCAGGGCAGTAAATGTTGGAGGATTTGGGGCCCAGAAAATCTCTTTTGCAGCTACTTAGCCCTGCAGTTGTAACTTGGAAGCCCCAGTGAATGTGACCATATTTTCATAAAACTTAATTTATGGACAGTGAAATGTAAGCTTTAATTTTTGTGCCATAAAATATTACTCTTCTTTGATGTTTTTGAGAGGTCTTGGGTATCAAACCCAGGACCCCACGTATGCTAGGCAGGAAGTCTATTACTGGCCCTTTTCTTAATTTTTGATAATTATTTAAAATGTAAAACACATTCTTCATCATAATCATATAAACACAAGTCACAAACTAGACTTGACTGGTAGATTTTAATTTGTCCACTCTTGTTTTAGTGGCAGGCAGAGGGGAAGAGGAATCTTTCCAACTTCCTAACTGCATCAGCTTGGATACTGCTACAGGTGTATGTTTGTGGGTCCTCAAAATTCCCAGGTTGAGACTCAATCACAAAGTGGTGTGAGAACATGGGGCACTGGCAGGTGACTAGCCAGGATCCATGTCCTAGTAAAAGACACCAAGGGAAGAAAGTATTTATCCCTCTGCCATGCAAGGGAACAGCTAGAAGGGATCAGCTTTACCAGACACTGAGTCTACTGGTGCCTTATCTTGGGTTTTCCCATTTTATAGAGCTTCAAGAAATGTTGTTTGTAAATTACCTAAATCTAAAACACATTGCTTTAGGGCGCAGCCTATGAAAGTGCTATGTTGTATAAGACGCAGCCTATGAAAATGATTTTGCACAGGATAACCTGTGTGACCTTGGATGATTCACTGGAACTCTGCATGCCTATTTCCCCTTCCATAAAATGGGAATGTGAATAGTTCCTACCCTGGAGGATTAAATGAGATAATTCACTGAAAGCCATTAGAACATGGAAGTCTCACTAAATAATTAGCCATTACCATTATCATTCTCGTCATGATACTGAAAGTGGAATGCTAAAGAAGCAAAATCTTTTTACTAGTTTTTTCCATTTTGTCTCCTCCAAGAGTCCAGTGATGTTGAGGGCACTAGAGATTCCCCTGGACCCATCTCCTGACCTTCCCAGATCTCTTGTTTTGGAGAAATAAATTCAGATTTGGAAGGGCTGTCTTCTAGAGGACCCTTCTATGGAAGGCAGGATTCTTACCTACAGTTGCCATTAGAAGGTTAGATTTCAGCTTTGTATTCTTTTATGGGACGATCCTTTGAGGGCACCTCAAAGAGGAAAGACAGGAAACAACAGAGCTTGCAGTACTCAGAGTTCCTACAGACGGAAAGAGCAAGAAGCTATGTACAACCCCATGATAAAGATTCCAGGCTGGTCTTTGGGCTAAAGACATGAGGGAGGGGCAGATTTGGCCTAGGCTTTTATTGGAATCAGTTCCAGAAAGGCAAAGCAGGTGAGGTAGGCAACTTATGATTGGCTATTTTCAACAATTCTGATGGTTATTGAGCTATCAAGAGTGGTCTCTAGCTGCTTGCCTCTGGCCTGGGATGATTCATGCAGAGGAATATTGTCACCTGGGTTGCAGGGCAAGTTAGAGGAGGTCTAATTCTGCACTGGTTAGTTTGTGTATCAGAGCCCCCTGGCCCTGAGACAGCAGGACCCTGGAGGGTCTATCTCGCTTGAGCCAAAAGGCCTTGTAAAATGCCAAAGGATCACAATACACAGAAAATTTATAATATCTCTTCTTGAATGAGATTTCACCTGCATCCAATTCCATCCAAATTTCTGGATTTATCTTTGGTTGTCTTCCATTCTTAATCAACACTTCTGTTCCTGGGCTTTGTGACCCTCACCCTGAAATTCTGCTACCTATTTGTTTTCAGGTCCCACCCTTCCTCCTCCATCATCTGTTCCAACCCTTAACACTTGTATTTGGCTTAACTTTGAGGTCTCCACAGACACAGGACAAGTTTTAGGAATCTTTGGGTCCCAAGTACCTACCACATATAGATATCCAACCAGTGGTTTTTATTTTAATAGGATTGAATGGTCCCTTTTGCTACACTGGGTCACATTCACAGGTTTACCCTTCTCGACAGGCATTTGTACTTCTCTGGACTCTCTTCTGTGCCAGATGCTCACTGCAACATCCTGACCTACATTAGCCTTAGTGCCCTACCGTATTGAGCATCCCTCCAGCATTTGAAAAGATGTAGCCCAAGTGCCAAAAAACATACATAGCCAGGATCAATCTGCTGGCCTGGTAGGCTTTTATGTGCTCCCACAGGAGTGTTTATTTAGGCATCCAGGAAACAGTGAACTCAGAGAATAACACAGCTAGAGCCCAATGAGGTAAGCATTGAGGAAAGAAGGAAAATTTTCCGTTCTAGTTCAGCTATGACTAAAGTTGTCAGGATTCATGTAATAACTACAAATTTGAGCTTACTTACATGAATAGATCTTTTTGAAAATCTGGGCTTTTATTTGTCCATATGTTCCTACTTGAGTTTTCTCAAGACACTGAAAGATATCATTGCAGGAAAAAAAATGATACAGAATTATCAGTATGGTGAGCTAGTGGTAGTCGAGGGCCAGGGCAATCCTTTCCTATCAGCCATAAGAACCAGGAAGCTAACTCCTTCCTGTGAGCCAGCGGTGGCTACGTACCACCTGCATGGAGAAAGACAAGGAGAACTAAGAAGCTAACCTCTCCTGTGAGGCAGCAGTAGTTGTGGGCTGGGACAACTCCTTCCTGTGAGCCAGCCAGAATGCAGGCTGGAAAACAAGAAATGCCACGC